TTTTTCAATGCAGCATAGTATTCCATTGTGTGAATATACCATAGCTTCTCTATCCATTCTTTTGTTGATGGGCACTTAGGTAGTTTCCAACTCCTTGCTATTGTAAACAAAGCCACAATAAACATGGGTGTGCATATATCTGCTTGAATGTCAGTTATGGTCTCTTTTGAGGTATATTCCCAGTAGTGGAATTGCTCAGTCAAATGGTATCTCTATTTGCAACTTTTTGAGAAAGCACCATACCGCCTTCCACAGTGGTTGCACCATTTTACACTCCCACCAACAGTGAATAAGGGTTCCAGTTTCTCCACAATCTCACCAGCATTTGTTGCTTGCTGTTCTGTTAAATTTTGTTATTCTGACTGGGGTGAGATGATATCTCATAGTTGTTGTGATCACCTGATTAACTTTGCATTACTGAAGAATCACAGGTTTCCCAGAAATCTATTTCTGAACTTCCTGGCTTTCCTGTTGACCTTTGTACTCTTCTCTTAGTGCTTACTGTGTGTGATACACTTGGCATGACCTGTTTACATATCTGTATTTTCTTTTAGCATCTAAAGTTCTCTAGGTGTGTATCATATCTTGTTTGTTACTGTGTCCCTAGCACTCTGAATGTGCCTAGTGCCTGAAGGCCTTCAGTGGATGTTAGCTAAATGATACTAAATGAGTATGCTTTGACAGAGTTCTAAAGAACTCACTCATTGCATCGACTTGCAACTCATAGCTGATCCTCCAGCAGGTTTGCAAAGGCTATAAATCACAAAGAAGGGAATTGCCCTTCTTTTGTGGAACAGCTGGTGGATTTGAACTGCTTGTCTTTGGGTTGATGCTGCAACTCTTTATCCACTGGGCCACCAGAGCGCCCTTTCTAAGAAAACAACTTCAAAACTTTTTTTATTTCATTAATGAACTGAGAGTATACAGTTTGTTCAAAATGTAAACATAGAAAAGTTCACTGATATTTTATAAAGCTGAAATGGTTCTTAAACAGGGTATTAATGTAGTTGCAACTGTTAAATGATGATCTATTAACTGAAAAGATGACCATTTGAACCTGCCCGTTAGTTCTACAGGGGAAATACCTGGTGACTGACTTTCCATAAAGATTGTTGTTTTTAGGTTCTTTGGAGTCCATTCTGACTCATAGTGAGGTAACAGATTAGACCTCTGCCAGGGTAGCTGAACAGGAAAAAACTCCAATCAGTCACATAGGGCCTCTCTTTGAAGTTGAACATCAAACAGCATTCGTGGCATCAAATAGCAACACTGTAGAAAAAGTGTTAGAACTTTCTGGCCTCTTTGAGAAGTTAGATATCTTTCTTTTCCCCCCCAAGTTGGAGGGTGAAGGTAGAGGAAATGTCAGTGATATTCTTCCAAGAGAAAAGGAGGCTGGAAGGAGTGTGGGGTGTCATTAATGGGCTTGTTAGGCCAAAGTACTTCCCTTTGGGTTTAGTCATTTGGACCTTGAGGCAGAGGTTGATGAAGAGGAGGATCTCGTCTTGGTGGATTTCCTGTGATGCTTGATATGAATAAGTACATTTCCCAGAAACTTCAAATTATCTTAATGAAGTCAGGGTAAGAAATGAGAGATGCCAACGAGTGTTAACACAATCATGTAACATCTGCCACAGATGTCAGTAAGGCTTTGATACTGTTTCATGGGTCTTTGGGTTGATAGCAGGCCATTCATTGGTTTGCCAAAGAGAGGTGGAGGTATAGAGTTTTCTCTTGCTGGGCACTTTTACATTTAACCCATTTAATCTGCCAAAACCCTTTGAGACCTGAGAGTCAGAAGTAACTTGCTTTAAGTCATGTTGTTGCAGAGGCAGTTAATTGCACGGGAGGAGATTGCCCATCCTTTTCCCATGGAGCAGCTGGTAGCCTCGAACAGCGAACTGCGTGCCTTCGTGATTGCAGCACAGCTTCTTATCACTAGGTCTCCAGCGCTCCCTTTAAACCAGTCTAGTTAAGAGCTGGTGCCTTTTACAAGTGTGCTGTACTTTTCATAGCCATGGAACTTTAGCTGGTTTAGGCTTTTTGTTTTGTAGTGATTAAATGGATTAAGGGTACTGAAATAAACATACAAATGGTTTCCACAAAGGTAGGTCCAAAGGGTGGAGTATTCAGTGTACTCAGCTGCTAATTTTGATTGGGTTGACCAATCAAAGCCTCTCAGGGATTCCATGGGAGAGCTTACTCACTCATTGCCCTAAATTGGAACCCACTCAGAGCTGTCCTCTGTTGGGCTTCAGAGGCTGTTAATTTTCTGAAAGGTGATTGTCCTTCTCCTTAAGAGCTGCTTTCTCCTCAAACCACCAGAGAGGTGTCACCTTTGAGTTAGCACAATTCCCTATATATTACAACAGAAGGACTTGTGATCTGCTTTGTACATATCTGTATGTGTGAAAGACTAAGATCTAGAAAACTGTGGAGCAGTCCTCTGCTGTCATATGGGGTTGAGGTGAATGAAAAGAAATCTCTATGGCACCTAATAACAACAATAAAAAAAGGGTGAAAGGGCTTAAGGAGGATGAGAAAAGGAAAGTATTTCAAGGAATAGACCCAATTTGAGTTGGATTTGAAAAGATGAGTAGAAAGTTTTCTTCTATAGAAGGCCTTTCATCTGCCTGTACCTGAGGGACAGATCCTCACTTTCAGAAACCTTTCCTCTCATATCTCTGTCTCTTATTCTCACACCTCCTTTTAGTTGCACAGACTAAATTAAATTCCCTTGAAACTGTTGATCCTAAATTCCTATCTAGTTTTAAGACTGCTGCTAATATCAGCATGACTGCAATTATACATTCAGTCTCCAAAGAATGTACTTCTCTATTTTAGATGCTATTTAAAATTAGCCTGTGTAATTTGAATTGCAATATTTAACTCTGAGAAACGTGATGAATCTTGGAATTCCTTATAAAGATGTTGTGTCTCATTTTTTTTCCTGTATGAATAAAAAGTTCCAAGGTGAAATTGTTAATTTTGTAAAAAATTTTTTATTTTATTTTATTATTTTGTGTGCATGTACCGTCAAATCGGATCTGACTGGTACAGGAGGAGATTGTCCCTTCTTTTTCCAGCAGAGCATCTGGTGGATTTGAACTGTGTGCCTCTGGGATTGCAGTGCAGCTTCTTGCCACGAGGCTACCAGAGCTCCCTGAAATTGTTAATTTTTGAGCTCTTGGGAACAGTTCCAATCCAGCATATATTCATTTGGTTTCTGTGATGTGCCAAATACAGTGCTAAATGCAAATTCTGTGCTGAGTACTAAGATCTACCCAAGAGAGGGATAGAAATAACTTTTTGAAATGCAAGCTCTAAAAATATTTACCATGTGTTTGTCCTTTCTCATGAAACTAACTTGTGTTTGTCACTTCTCATAAATGTGCTCCTCAAATGGCAGTATAAAATTAAGGAAGAAGAAAGCAAACTAGTCTGGTTTATAATAGATTCCAGTAGAAAGGGGTCTATGAAAAACCCCCAAACAACCACTAACCTTGTGAAATATGGTTTTAAGAGGTATTTCAGAGATGTAGAGTGTTCTAGAATCATGGATAGGTACATAAATAATAATCAAATAAGAAAATGAGGCAGTTATACACTTCGCAAGAAATTTATTCCTAGTTGGCAGTGTTACTGAGCATTCTCATATGAGGATTGTTATTTTAGGATTTTCTTTTTTTTAAAAATTTTTGTGTGTGTGTACCATCAATTCGGATCTGACTGGTACTGGAGGAGATTGTCCCTCCTCCTTAGGCAGAGCATCTGGTGGATTTTTTAATAAGTATTGTAAACTATGTGACAGATGAACAAGTATAAACTCAGAGTCAAAGCCGCTATCATCAGGTCTGTATGATTCATAGTGACTGTATGGACAGAGGGGCACTGCCACACATAGTTTCTAAGGCTGTACATTTTTTTAAAATGTTATTATTATTTGTGTGTGTGTACCGTCAAATCGGATCTGACTGGTACAGGAGGAGATTGTCCCTCCTTCTCCAGCAGAGCACCTGGTGGATTCGAACCGCGCACCTCTGGGATTACAGTGCAACTTCTTGCCACTAGGCCACCAGAGCTCCCTAAGGCTGTACATTTTTATAGGAACAACTTGCCTCATCTTTTTCTCGTAGAGTGGCAGGTGAGTTCAAACCACTGTCCTTTTGGTCAGCAGTCACATCCTTTCTCTCCTGTGCCATCTAGGCTTCTATGCTCAATTATAAACTCCCTCCCAAAGAAGCCTGCTGCCCTCAAGCCAGTTCTGACTTACGGTGACACTCCATTGGATTTTCAAGAGTGTACATCCTTACAGGAACAGACTGCCCATCTTTCTTCTGCAGAGCAGCTTGTGGATTTGAACCACAGACCTTCTGATCAGAAGCCCAATATGTACGGGACTATGCCAGTAGAGCTGCTAGTATATGATGAATAAGTATAATGTGTTCTAGTTCAGTCATCTTTAGTCCCTGAGAACCAGGATTCTTGGTGTAAAAGTGTGTGAGATGAAGTTTCTTCATCCTTCCTCTAAATGCATCCTGGTTGTGCTTCTCTTAAACAGGTTTGTTTGTTTTTGACAGCCCATTACGCCATCTTTGCTAACACCAAAATTCAAAGACTTTTAATTATTCTTCAGTCTTCCTTTTTCATGCAACTTTCACATGAATATGAAACAATTGAAAATCTTACTTGAGTCAGGTACACCTTAGTCTTTAAACTGACATCCTTACTAGTTACCATTTTAAAGAAGTCCTTGACAGCAGATTTTCCCAGTGCAATACATCTTTTGATTTCTTGACTGCTACCATCATTGGTATGTGTTAATTCTGGACCTAAGCAAAATGAAATAATTTGCAACTTTGGTCTTATCTCCACCAATTGTGATGTCTCCTAACTGGCAATAATATTCATTGGACAAAGGAATGAATTTCTATCATGATCATCTGTTCAGCTATGAAACCTCTAACTGTACTTGTTTCTATTTGTTATCTCTTTAGTTTGTGAAACCTGGAGATAATTCAAGAGACTATCCAGACATGGCAAGAGAAGCAGGTAATATTAATATCTTTGAACATTCCTAGTCTGTTGTGTTGTCTGTATTGAGGTCATGAATGGAGATGCCTTGGTAACCTCAGTTAAGGGAGAAGAACCCACTGGCTTACTGGAAAGGAGAAAGGAAAATGAGGTCTGTGCTGTTATATCCTTTCCAGATTTTCACTGGAGTAAGAAACGAATTTTTGTAGTGGACAGAGGTGGAGTTATTAAAGACATTACTTGATTGTTAAAGATATATCACACCTTAGGAGTTATAACAAACTTAAAGTCTTCCTTTTCTAGAGAGCAGATAATTGCTTTTAAAGTGTATTAAACACCCACATAATTTTTCTTTCTGACTTCAGTGAATCAGCACAGAGGATTCATCTCTCTAACAAGGCTAGCTGTGGTCACTAATCCAACTCATGCCAACCCTATTTGTGTCAGGTAGAGACTGTGATCCATGGAGGGTTCGTTGACTGGCTTCTCAGATGTAGATCTGTGTTCCAGTGATTATTTGATGTGGCTCTTCTAAGCCTAGTCTTTGTTACTTGTATTCCATTGTTGGTGATGTTGTAGGTGCTTTCAAGTCAATTACGACCAATATGACCCTATGAACAGCAGGTCTGAACCCTGTCATATCCTGTACCATCCCCACACTTCCTGATGCCCTAGAGCCCACTGTGGTAGCCACTGTATCAGACCACTGGTTTGAAGGTCTTTATTTTGCCAAGCATCTTGTCCCTCTCCAAGGAATAACTTCTCCTGGCAACATGCCAAAAGTATGTGAGGTGAAGCTTTATAATCTTTGCCTCTAAGGAGCACTCTGGCTGCACTTTCTCCAAGACGTGTTTGTTTGTTCTTTTGACAGTCTGTGGGATGTTCAGTGCTTTTCTCCAACACCACAGCTCAAAGGCATCAATTCTTTTTCTGTCTCAATCTTTATTCATTGTCCAGCTCTTAGATTCACAGCAACTAATTGGAAAGAGCATGGCCTGAGTCAGACTCATGGCTGGATGTTGTTGTTTGCTGTTGTTATGTGCTGTTGAGTTGCTTGCGACTCATAGCTATCCTATGTACAACAGCCCTAAACCCTGCTCTTATCGCTTGACAATCGTATTATCTCTGAAACGCCCATCTTCATTATCCCAGTGATGGAATCAATCCATCTCATCAACGGTCTTTCTCTCCTGCACTGTCCCTCCACCCTCCCAGGCATGGTGTCCCTCTCCAAGGACTGATCCCACCTTGCAACATGTCCAAAGTATATGAGATGAAGCTTCAGAATCCTTGCCTCCAAGGAGTAGCCTGCCTTTACCCTCTCCAGGATGACTGTTTGTTCTCCTAGCAGTCCATGGTATATTCAATACTCTTCTCCAGCACCATAGCTCAAAGACATCAACTCTCCTTCTATCATCCCTAGTAATTGTACAGATTTCTGATGCATAGCAAGTAATTGCAAAGACCATGGCCTGTATCAAGCACACCTTAATTTCCGGACTGACATCGTTGCTCCTCAGTACCTTGAAGAGGTCTCTGACAGCAGACTTTCCCAATGCAATTTGTCTTTTAATTTCCTGGCTGCTGGTGCCAAGAGTGCTCATTGTAGAGCCAAGCAAACAGAAGCTGTTAGCTATCTCAATCTCTTCATCATCCATCATGATGCTGCCAATCAGCCCAGTGGTGAGAATCTTTGTTTTCTTGATGTTTAGCGTCAATACATATTGAAGACTGCAGTCCTTGACCCTCCACAGCAAGCGTTTCAGGTCCTCCTCAGTTTCAGCAAACAGGGTTGTGTCATCTGCATGACGCAGATTGTTGATGAGTCTACCTCCAGTTCTGATGCCACACTTCTCCTTGTAGAGCCCAGCCTCCTGATAATCTTTTCTGCATATAGATTGAAAAGATATGGAGATAGGACACATCCCTGACACACACCCTTCCCAATTTTGAATAGGACTATTCAAATTGTATTTTATCTGTATCTCACAAAGAGGATTGGTTAACTTGTAAATAATATAAATGACACCTCTAGTTGGTACCATGCAAATAAGATGCTCGTGTAGGGATTGGCCAGTTTTACCATCTCACTATACTTAAATTCATCTGACCCAAAGGTGGAAAACAGGGAGGGATCTTACTGTTACCAAGAGGAAAGAACTGTTATGTAAATTGCATTGTTTGGACCTGAAGTCTTGTGGGAAGATGGAAAGATGATGTGAGGCAGCTGCAGCAGTGGTAACAGAGGTTATCGAGAACCAGAGATCAGTATTATACAAAGCTGAGTGTTTGCTGGTGGAGTGGATGACCTAGGGCACATGTTAGGGCAGCTGGGTCTGCCAACCTGTGGATCTGGAACTGAGTGACTTTGGTTATGCTCCTAGTACAGTTGAATTGGCACATAATTGCGAGAGCTAAAAGGTGAAAGACTTTTGAAACACTTGCCCCAGGGGGCAGAGGCCAAGGCTGCAATGGCAAGTGTAGGAGAAAGGCCTACCCTGGAGCACATCGGAAAAGAGGTTGTCCTGGTGGAAGAATTTATCTTGAATGTTTCCATCCTGAACTGTAACCATCTCTGTTCTAATCAATACATTCTGCAAGAGGATCTAACTTTGCTTGCTCAAAGCGAGGAGAACTTGAAGTGCTTACTGCAAAAGATCTAACACTGCAGTTTTGTATATGGATTGCATTTTTTTTAAAAGATTTTTTTTTAATTATTATTTTTTGTGCATGTACCGTCAAATCAGATCTGACTGGTACAGGAGGAAATTGTCCCTCCTTCTCCGGCAGTATGGATTGCATTTTAAAGTCAAGAAATATTCAATAATGTATACTGCATTGAAACAGATAAGGGAGAAAACTGTTTAAAAGGGATATGTGATTAGGTATTTTTGTCATGATAGGAGTCCAGAGCTAAGGCTGCATAGTGGAGTGGACCTGGGGGAGGGTTTGTAAAACAATGAAAGAATTTTTCTTTTATTTTTCCAAGAGGGTAGTGTACTAGGGCAGAGGGTTGGGAGGGAAGAAAGTGCAACAATGAATGAATGGAAATCCAAAGTCTCTGTAAATTTTCATTGAAATTAGTAATAAATTTAAAAAGTCAAGAAATAAAAAATCCTTTCCACTGGACTGATAGGCAACAGCTTGGTAAATGAGGAAAAGGTTAAGGTTAGGGTTAGGGTTAGGTAAGTTGTTTAAACTGTCAACTACTTCATATTACATGGATCCACAATCAATACACTTGGTACTGGCAGTTAGGAGATCAGGAGATGTATTGCACCAGGAAAATCTTCAGTCAGGGACCTCTCCAAATTATTTAGGAGCAATGATGTCAGTCTGACAACTATTGTGCACTTGATTCATGGTCTTTTCAATCACTTGCTATCCATCTGAGAGTTGACTATGATAGTAGCAGCAGAATAGAGCTCAATGATAGAGCTGAATGATAGAAGAAGAATTGATGCCTTTGAACTGTGGTGTTGGAGAAGACTCCCGAATATCGCATGGACTGAAAAAAGAACAAACAAATATGTCTTGAAGAAGGTGCAGCCAGAGTGCTCCTTGGAGGCAAGGATGATAAAGCTTCGTCTCACATACTTTGAGCGTGTTGCTAGGGGAGATTATTCTTTGAGGAGAACAACTTGGATATGTGGAGGGATGGCGAAAGAAAGGAAGGCTGTCAACCAGATGGGCTGACAGTTGACTGCAGCAATGGTCCTGAATATGTCAGAAATTGTGAGGATGGAATAGAATAGGACAGAATTAAGATCTATGATTCATAAGGCAACTATGAATAATACTCAACTCTACAGCACCTAACAACAGCAATAGAATTTAAGAGTCCACAGTGTGTGGGTCTTTGTTCTGTAGGCTGTGAAGAACAAACACATGCTTGGGCAAGACTGCAACTGACTAAACTGTAGTTATAGTTCCAGAAGAGAGATCTTATCTCCATTGTTCATTGTCTCCCTAACCTACCCATTGTCTCCTTAACCTCCCTCCTCCCAAAGAGCAGGAGAGCTTTCGAGCTTGGTTGTTGTTACGCACCATCAAGTCAGAACTGGCTCATAACTGACCCTTCAACAGGTTTGCAGTGTCTGTAAATCACATTAGAGGAGATTGCCCAGCTTTTCCCCACAGAGAACCTGGTGGATTCGGACCATGTGCCTTTGGGTTGGCAGTGCAACTCCTTGCCACAAATCCATTAGAGCTCCCAAGCCCTCTGTACTTGGTGGAAATAGATACTTTAGATTCAGGGCTAAGCAAGCCAAACTCAAGTGCCATTTTTTTATGTGAGTACTGGGAAATCCTAGCTTCCTAGAACATAGAGACCTTGGTAGCTCCTTGGTTCCATGGGTTGTTCCCCTGTCCCTGCTAGCTCATTGCCAGATAACCCAAAAAAGGTTACTGTGGTTATTCATCCGAACCCTGCTTTTTATTCGGCACCCATACTAGTGTTTTAACTCTTAAGTTATATAAACCAACTAATAAGTCAACTTATATAGATACTGCTGTACAGGGAGTTGAAGGAACCCTATCCAAAGGTTTGTAGTTCAGACAACTTAACTTCTTTATAGAAGAAAGGCCTGGGGATCTGCTTCTGTAAAGAATGTTGTTCTTATGTGCTGTCAAGTTGGAACTGACCCATAGATGACCCCCAGAGGACAGCTTCCTGGCTAATGGACTGGAAGAGATAGATAGATAGATAGATAGATAGATAGATAGATAGATAGATAGATATTTATTCCCATTCCAAAAAAAGGTGACTTGACAGAGTGCAGAAATTATCGTACAATGTCACACACAAGCAAAATCCTGCTGAAGATTATCCAGAAATGACTGGAACAGAATATTGACAGAGAATTACCAGAAATACAAGATGGGTTTAGAAGAGGTCATAGCACTGAGAAAGATGGGATAAAGAATATATACTGCATTGAAACATATGAGGGAGAGAACGGTTTAAAAATGATGTGTGATTAGGTATTATTGTCATGACAGGAGTCCAGAACGAAGGCTCCATAGTGGAGTGGACTTGGGGGGAGGGATTGTATAACAACGAAAGAATTTTTTTTTTTTTTTACTTTTCAAAGAGAAAAGCAAGCTGGCGCAAAGAGGTGGGCAGGGAGGAAAAGTGTGCAACAGTGAATGAATGGAAATCCAAAGTCCCTGTAAACTTTCATTAAAATAATAAAATAATTTCTGAAAAATAATGACTCCCAGGGGGGCACTAATGGTAAGTACTCAATGACTAGATGCAAACCATGGGTAGTACAGTGTTCCATTGGCATCCAGAGGAGGAAGAGACACAAACTAAAATAAAACAAAACACAAAACCCTTTGTTATGGAGTAAATTCTGATTCATAGCAACTCTGTGGGACAGGGTATAACTGTGTAGGGTTTCCAATGCTGTAATCTTCATGGGTTAACAACTGGGGAGGGACAGAGCACAGTCTAAACTTTAACTCTTTTAATAGCTCATTCTTTCCTCCTAATTATAAGAACAATGCATGTGTTTTGTTCAAACACAGAATTAGATGACGACAAAAACCGAATTCTGCTATCCAAACCAACCATTATTAACATTTCGGTGTGCTTCAATTTAGTGTTTCCCCCTGTTGCCATGTGGAATCTTAAAACTATTTGTAGTTTTGTGGTTTGACTTTTCATGCTGCTTCTTTGTGTGCTCTGGTGGCTCAGGGAGTTGTGTTGCTCACCCAAAGGCTAAGCCTCTCTGGCAGTTTGACTCCACCAGCAACTCCTTGAGAGAAAGATGGACAATCTCCTCCCATGCAATTTACAGCCATGGACAACTTGCTGGAGGGTCAGCCTTGAGTCGGTTCTGATGCTATTGCAATGAGAGAGTTACTTTATCATGAACATTTTTCCTGTAAATGGTAATTGTTGTGCATTATTTTTTATATATCTATGCCATAATTTTTGTTGGACATAGAAGCTATAAATAACTTTTAAATAGTTTAAAAGAATTACAGTTAACATCATACTAACTAAATATTTCTTCTCATCTCCCATCAAATTGGCTTTTGTCAAGTTATTTTCCAGTGTTTGTACTATTAAATTCTCACTAGCAGCATATGAAAAGTGCATTTAATCTCACCCATATTATTTTTAAATATTTACTTAAATATTATACTTTATACTTAATATACTTTAAATATTATAAAGCATTTACCTTTTTGCTTATATGCCAAGCAGGAAAAGGTAACCTTCTCTGACCAAATCAGTCCTTTATCCAATTATATATCTTCATGAATTTAAAAAATTAAAGTTGTACATTTATCTGGTTAAAAAAAAGTGAGTACAGAATGCCTTATGACTTTCAGACCTATACGGCACATGCTATTTACAACTGGCTGCTAAATTAAAGGTTGGTAGTTCAAACATATCCTGTGATTCTGTGGGGGGAAAAAGCTCTTTGTGTAAAGATTACAGCCACGAAAATCTATAGAAACATTTAAAAAACTATTTTGGGTTTGGTTTTCTGGTGGTTATCTTATTCTGTTTTTTTACTTAATACATTTTAGAAATTACCTGTTAATCGGTTAGTCCAAACTCACTACTTTTGAGTCAATCTAAACCAATAGTGACTATCAAATTTATGAGGCTGTAAATCTTTTTTTGAGATTGTTGTTGTTACATGCGGTTGAGTTGGAACCAATTCTTAGCTGATCCTCCAGCAGGTTTACAGAGCCTGTAAATCACCTGAGAGAAGATTGCCCATTTTTCTCCCAAGGAGCACCTGGTAGATTTGAACCATGTGCCTTTGGGTTGACAGAGCAACTCCTTACCACTAGATCGTGGAGACAGCCATTTTTCTCCTGCTGAGCAGTTAGTAGATTCATTCCATTAACCTTTTACTTAGCAGCCCAATGTGGTATGAATCAAGTGATGTGTTGCATTAGAGAAGTCTGCTGCAAAAGTTTCTTTAAAGTGCTCAAAAGTGACTATTCACTTTGAGGGCTAAGGTGTTTCTGTGCAAAACTTTGGTGTTTTCTGTTGCCTCATATACACGGGAAAGCTGGAAAGCGAATAAGGAAGACTGAAGATACATCTGAATTATTGCCTTGTCCGAGGATGAGATATCATGGACCATTAGCAGAAGGCACAAATTCATCTTCAGAGAAGTGCAGCAACAGCTTTTGTTTCTTGCTTTGGTGGGTGAGGCTTTAGCTTACACATTCTTCCAAGGATACATCATTTTTCATTCTACCATTAGAATTCCTTCTTCACCTTTGGATAGCCTTCTTAAAACACCATTTCTTGAACCATGGACAGGATGGTTTTCTTGATCCTGGCTTTGTGAAACCAGCACATTAGACTCTACCTTCTCATTTAGTCTTCTTCCCCTCATTTTGTCTCATTTTGCTCTTTAAATGTGCAGAGGAGATACAGAAAAGAGTAATGCAAAGGGATTGCCATTAAGGAGATTTAAGACTCTGTGGATTTAATGTTTGTGGTTAGGGATAAAGATCCCTGGGTAGATGAGATGGTTAAGCATTCCACTGTTAGTCAAAATGTTGGTGGTTTGAACCCATGTGGAGAGGTCTTAGAAGACGAACCTAGCCTGGTTGTCTGTTTCCAGAAGGTCACAGCCTTGAAAACTAGAGCGAAGCTCTACTCTGCACACAAGGATTTCCCTGGAGTCAGAACTGAATTCACTGCAACTAACATAGTTAGATATACATCAAGGATAAAAGATAAAAGTGTTTGAAAGGAGACGTGGACAGTACAGCAGTAGTGCAGTGGAAGAAAGGATTACCCTTGAAAAGAGAGCAATGAAATGATCTGATGAAGGATTTAGTATTTGAATTAGACGTAGATGATACAGAGGTAAACTTGTTCTTAGAAAATGACTAGCTTAATTTTTACCCACTTGATGCAAATATTGAAAGTACTCTTTGATAACATTCTGTGTTCTTTGTAGGCCTGAAGGCTTTAGAGGATGCGCAGATTCCTTATTCAGCAGTGGAACAGGCGTGTGTTGGATATGTTTACGGTATGTGGCAACCTGTATATTCTAAGCATTATTCATCTAAATCTAGAAACAACTACATAATTAACATAGAGGTATTTGTGAATTTTAACTCTCAATATTTGAAACTCTCAAAACCCATGGTTAGCACATTTCCCTCATGTGGCAGCCTGGTTTATTTGTTTGCCGTTATTGTATTGCCAAAATAGGAGATAAATTTACTACCCATAGTTCTACTGTGTAAGGGTTATTACTATTTAGAAGATAAATTTTGTCCTTTGTTCCCTTGAAACACATACTGAATTAACTTTTTTTTTGTATATTATGAATTTTTCACTTGACTTTTTTCTGATCAGAAACATACAACAAAGGAAGACAAAGAAAAGAAGAAATAAATTACATGGAATTCTATTATCCAGTGATTAACACCAGTGCATTTTTAATGTATGTTCTTCATATAAATAGAAATAGAAATAGAAACAGAAATAGAAATATACAAGTTTCTCTTAATAGGATTCTAGTAAACATACTGTGTGTGTATATATATATGTGTTTGCACTTTTTTATTGTGATTTTGTGAAAATAAACACAGCAAATGGGTTTTCCTTATAATCATTTGTATGAATTTTGTTTTAGGACATTGATTGCAAACTCCATAATATAAAAGCTATCTTCTTACTTCTTTTCTATGCTTGTCATTTCCATGTCTTCCTTCTTTCCTATTCTTTCCTACCATCTGATCTTTATTCAGGGGCAAGTACTGCTCTGTTGGTCTCATCTGGTTAATTGTTCTAAGGAATTTATACTTACCTCATGTAACCCACCTGTGTATCACTGACTGGCAGTTGAGTCATGAGGGTGAGCTCAGTTCCAGATTTAAAGGGTTTCTACTAGACTCTATCAGATCAAAAAGCCTGCTGTTTTTTTCCCTGATTTTCAGCTTTGTTCCACATTTCTCTTTCACTGTACCAGGGACCTCAAATTGTGATTCCTTTCTGGTAGTTCACAGTGGTGGCTGGGCACCATTTAGTTCTTCTAGTCTCAAAGTTATATATACTTTTTTTTCCTTTTCCTTTTTCCCCCATTTATTATTATTATTATTAATTTCAATGAACATTTACAGAGATTGTGGATTTCCATTCATTCATTGTTGTGCTTTTCTCCCAGCCCACCCCACCCACAACCCCAGTTCGCTCTTCTTTAAAAGCAAAAGAAGTTATATATACTTTTTTGTGACTTGCTTTTCTTGTTTTATCTCTGAACATCCCCATGTAATGAAATCTTTTTCATACCATCAGGAACATTTTAAAATTAAGCTTATTTTTGTTTTTGGAATTGTTAGTGTTTACATGGTTAAAAAATACAAAAAAGATAAATAGTTGTACAATGGAAGTCTCTTGTAGCCCTGTGCCATAGATATCTCCTGTTAGGTGACTAGTTTTACATAATTTCTAGTGTATCTGACTGGAAAAGATCTATATTTCTTCCCATTCCAAAGAAAGGTGACCCAACTGAGTGTGGAAACTACAGAACAATCTCATTGATTTCACATGCAAGCAAGATTCTACTGAAGATTATCCAAAAACGATTAGAACAGCACATCAGCAGAGAACTGCCGGAAGTCCAGCCTGGGTTTAGAAGGGGTCGTGGTACTAGGGATATTGTTGCTGATGTTAGATGGATCTTGGCTGAAGGCAGGGAATACCAGAAGAATGTCTATCTGTGTTTCATTGATTATGCAAAGGCATTTGACTGTGTGGATCATAACAAACTGTGGCTGACTCTGAGAAGAATGGGAATCCCAGAACATTTAATTGTGCTAATGCGAAACCTGTACTTGGACCAAGAGGCAGTAGTCAGAACAGAGCAGGGTAACACTGCATGGTTCAAAATTGGGAAGGGTGTACGCCAGGGATGCATCCTGTCTCCATACCTTTTCAACATGTATGCAGAGCAGATTATCCGAGAGGCTGGGCTCTATGAGGAGAATTGTCGCATCAGGATTGGTGGAAGATCTATTAACAATCTCCGTTATGCAGATGACACAACCCTGCTTGCTGAAACTGAGGAGGACCTCATGCACTTGCTGTGAAGGGTCAGGGACTGCAGCCTTCAGTATGGACTGAGGCTCAATGTCAAGAAGACAAAGATTCTCACCACTGGACCAATTGGCAGCGTCAGGATGGATGTCGAAGAGATTGAGATTGTTCACAGCTTTAGCTTGCTCGGCTCCACAGTCAACACTCTTGGCACCAGCAGTCAGGAAATCAAAAAGCGTATCGCGATGGGAAAGTCTGCTGTTAGGGACCTCTCTAAAGTACTCAGGAACAACGGTGTCTCTCTGGAGACTAAGGTGCGCCTGATACAGGCCATGGTATTTGCAATTGCTTGTTATGCCTCAGAGAGTTGGACAATGACTAGGGAGGACAGAAGGAGAGTGGATGCTTTTGAGCTGTGGTGCTAGAGAAGAGTACTGAATGTACCATGGACTGCCAGGAAAACAAACAGATTCATCTTGGAGAGGATTAAGCAAGCTACTCCTTGGAGGCAAGGATTCTGGGGCTTCGTCTGACATACTTTGGACATGTTGCCAGGAGGGACGGGTCCTTGGAGAGGGACATCATGCTTGGGAGGGTTGAGGGACAGCACAGGAGGGGAAGACCCTCTATGAGATGGATAGATTCAGTGACTGGGGTAATCGGGATGCGTGTGTCGGAGGCAGTGCGCTTGGTGCAGGATAGAGCAGGGTTTAGGGCTGTTGTGCATAGGGTCGCTATGAGTCGAAAACGACTCGACGGAACATAACAACAACAACAACATCTTGCCACAGGAGATCTATATACATAGGCACAAGTATGTGTGGTTGTGGAATCTCTCTCTTACTTTTGCTTTTGTTATTCAAACTGTAACTTAACACACTGTAACTTACACAACTGTAACATACACACTGTTTTGTGTCTTGATTTTTTAAAAAACTTTGTAATTCTTGTTGACTATTTCAAATTGAGTAAAAAGACTTCCTTTTTAATGACAGCATAGTACTCCACTTTATTGATATTTTTTGTTATAGTTACTTTAATTATCTATTTTTAATGGGTTCTCCCAGTCATTTTTTAGCATTTAAAAAAAGAATTGTTATGGTTGTTAGGTGCCATCAAGTTAGCTGTGACTCATAACAACCCTATGAGCAACAGATCTGAACCTTGCCACACCCTAAACCATCCTCGTACTCTCTCACATGCTAGAGATCAGTGTTATAGAGACGATGCCAGTCTATTTTGTTGATGTATATCTTTGTTTTTGTATATAATAAAGAATATTTTTCTACTTTAATAATTTTAAATGTACAATTCAGTAACATTAATTCTATTCACCATGATGTACCACCTTCACCACTATCCATTTCCAAAAATTTTTACCCCTAGAAAAACTTAGCATCCCTTCAGTAATACCTCATTATCCCATCTTCCTCTGTGCCTGGTAATCATTAATAAATTTGTCTTCTGCATTTGCCTATTCTTGATATTTTCTATAAGAAGGTTTATGAATATTTGTCTTTGCATATTTGACTTATTCAGTGCAATGTTTTCAAGATTCATTTGTGTCATGACATATATCAGAACTTCATTTCTCTATATGAATGAAATATATATACACACACACACACACACACACATACATACATACAAGGGGATCTCTGGTGGCCTAGAGGTAAGAAGCTGTGCTGTAATTCTGAAGGCACACAGTTCAAATCCACCAGCTGCCCTGCAGGAGAAGATTGGATAATCTCCTCCTGTATGATTAATTGCCCCTGAAAACCTGCTGGAGGGTCATCTATGAGTTGGTTACAACTTGAAGGTACACAACAACAACTATATTGTATTTTGTTAATCGGTATATCTGTTTATCTGTTGTATATTTGGTTTGTTTCCATTTTCTAAACTACTGTAAATAATACTTTAAAGTAATAGCTTTTTTAGTGGCTTGCTAAAACTGAGGAAGACCTAAAGAGCTTGCTGCAGAAGGTCAAGGACTGCAGCCTTCAATATGGATTGAAGCTCAACATCAAGAAAACAAAGATTCTCACCTCTGGGCCAATTGGCAGCATCAGTATGGAGGGTGAAGAGATTGAGATAGTTAACAGTTTTCGTTTACTTGGTTCCACAGTCAACACTCTTGGTAACAGCAGCCAGGAAATCAAAAGACAAATTGCACTTGGAAAGTCAGCTGTGAGGGACCTCTCAAGAGTACTGAAGAACAACGAAGTCAGGCTGAAGACTAAGGTGCGCCTGATCCAGGCTATAGTCTTCGCAGTTGTGTGCTATGCATTGGAGAGTTGGAGAGTGACTAGGGATGATAGAAAGAGAACTGATGTCTTTGAGCTGTGGTGGTGGAGAAGAGTGTTGAATATACCATGGACTGCTAGGAGAACAAACAGGTTTGTCCTGGAGAGGGTGAAGCCGGAGTTCTCCTTGGAGTCAAGGATTCTGAATCTTCGTCTGACATACTTTGAGCATGTTGCAAGGAGGGACTGGTCTTTGGAGAGGGACATCACGTTTGGGAGAGTGGAGGGACTGTGCAGGAGAGGAAGACCCTCAATGAGATGGATTGATTCTGTGAGTGGAGTGCTGGGAATGAGTATGTTCGAGACGGTGAGGTTGGCACAGAATAGAACGGCATTTAGGGCTCTTTTACATAGGGCCGCTATGAGTTGCAAGTGACTTGATGGCACATAACATCACCACCACCACAACAACAACTACAACATAATAGTTTAGACTTGTAGATCTTCTATAGTTTATTTAGTAGTAGTAATGGTATCCTCTTGTTGGAAACTTTCAGTTAGTTCTTATTTTTAGTTTTTATAAAAAAATGATAGTAAACATAAGAATCAATGGTCCTGAAGAAAGTAGTCTAAGCTATATTGAATGCATTGGTGAAAAAATACAGACTACCAATTGAAGTGGTTTTTTTTAAAATTTTTTTTATTTTATTATTTTTGTGTGCGTGTATCGTCAAATCAGATCTGACTGGTATAGGAGGAGATTGTCCCTCCTTCCCTGGCAGAGCATCTGGTGGATTCGAACCGTTCGCCTCTGGGATTGTAGTTGTAGCTCCTTGCCACTAGGCCACCAGAGCTCCCCCCAATTGAAGTTTTAAATGAATAGATGTAGCCTCGTATGTGCTCAGTTATCTATGCTAAGAAATTTGGAATACAGCTACATCACCAACCAATGGGAAGAGGTATATATATCTATGCCCATTAAAAAAAAACTGGTAATCCAACAGAATATGGAAATTCTTGAACAATATCATTCATAAGTAAAATCTTGCTCACAATGAATAAAAACAGCTGATTAAATATATTGACTATCAAAAATTCAAGCTGATAGATGGATTTTGGCTAAAAGCAGAGAGCCCCCAAAAGATGTTTACTTCTGTGTTATTGGCTATCCAAAGGCAGTCTACTACTGTGTGGATAACATTGAGAAGAATGGGAACCCAGAACACTTACTTGTGCTCATGTGGAATCTGTACATAGAACAAGAAGAAATTTTTAGAACTGAACAAGGAAGTATTGTATGGTTTAATATCAGGGGAAATGTTTATCAGAGTGATATCTTTTTACCATACCTAGTTAGTTTGAAGGGAGCGGTGGTGGGCTAGTGGTAAGAAGCTGTGCTGCAATCCTGAAAGCATGTGGTTCAAACCCACCAGCTGTTCTGTTGAAGAAGGATTTGCAATTTCCTCCCATGCAATTAAACTGGCTCTGAAAACCTGCTGGAGTTTCAGCTTTGGGTCGATTCTGACTTGATGCCACACAACAATAGCATGTAAAGGAACTGGAGAGGGTCACTATTAGTTGAAATCATGCTAATTTAATTCAATTTTTATGCTAAGCAACTAAGCCAAGAAGCTGGACTATATGAACAAGAATGTGGCATCAGAATTTGAAGAAGTCATTCATGACTTCTAAAATGCAGACAAAACAACTTTCCTTTCTGAAAGTGAAGAGGACTTGAAGCATTTCTTGAAGATCAAGAATAGACTTGTTCATTTTATAGACCTGCCTATTATCTGGCTGAAAGTTAAGCCACAGTGATGCATTCAGAAGGGACAGAGTCTTGGAGGTTTACCCTTCTCTATCAAACCAGTAAGGCTGGTCATTTTTATGACTTTGAGTTTTATTCAGCATTTCCCCCTACTTTATCCAGGACCTCAAAATGTAATCTTTTTCATAGCAATCAGTAGTTATAGCTGTGCACCATCTAGTTCTTCTGGTCTCAGGATCATGGAGGATTAAGTTCAAGTTCTAACAATGAGCCTTGTGGGAACCCTATACCTAGACTAAGAAGGTGTTGTCTGAACAGAGCAAGGGAATACTTCATGCCTTAAAATCAGGAAAAGTGTACATCAGGTTGTATCCTTTCTCCATATCTATTCACTCTGCTTGCTGAGCACATCATTTATGAAGCTGGAGGAATGTGACATCAGAATTCAAGGAAGACTCATCAACAACCTGTGCTATGCAAATGACACAACTTTGCTTGCTGAGAGTGAGGAGTACTTGAAACACTGTAGCCTCCATTATGGATTGCATCTCAACCTCAAGAAGACAACAGTTCTCACCACTGGACTGATAGGCAGCATCATGATAGATGGAGAAAATGTTGAAATTGTCAACAATTTAATCTTACTTAAATCCACAGTCAACCCCCTTGAGTATCAGCAGTTAGGAGATCAGGAGACATTGTGCATTGGCTAAGTCCACTGTCAGGAATCTTTCCACATTACTGAGGAGCAGTGATGTCAGTTTGAAGACTAAGGTGTTCCTCATTTAGGCCATGATCTTTTCAATCACTTGCTATAAATCTGAGAGCTGGATAGTGAATAAGGACGACAGAATAAGAATTTATGCCTTTGAGTTGTGCTGTTGGAGAAGAGCATTGAATATTCTATGGGCTGCAAAAATCCCAAACAGATATGTCTTAGAAAAAGTGCAGCCAGAGTGTTCCTTGGAGATAAGGATGGTGAAACTTCATTTCACATATTGGGCATGTTGTTAGGAGAGGCTATTTCTTGGGAAGAGATACCATGCTTGAAAAGGAGGGTCAACAAAAGAGAGGAAGACCAGATGGATTCACACAGTGACTGCAACAATGGACTTAAGTGTGTCAGAGGTGATGAGGATGGCACAGGATAGGACAGGGTTCAGATCTGTTGTTGGTAGTGTCTGAGTCGTACTCCACGTGATGACATCTAACAACAAAAGTGTAATTAATAGGGAGCTCTGGTGACTTGGGCACACAGTTCCGTCTATCAGTTGTTCAGAGGAGAAAGATGAGGAGTCTCCTCACGTGCAATTTACTGCTTCTGAAAACCCGCTGGAAAATCAGCTATGAGTCAGTTCTGACTTGATTGTACCTAACAGTAGCAATGTAATTGCTATTATTATTAATTACAGTGACTAACCAACCCCTTATTATATTGCCTTTCCCTTCACCCAAGTTATCAAGATTTTTCCTAATTTTTTAAAAATTATTACCTTGTTTTTAAATAATTTTTTTTTAATTTTATATTGGTTTATTTACAAAGTTCATATGCATAATTTTTCAAAGTGTCTCTTACCCATCTCCTTCACCCATCCCTCCCTATTACTATATTTTAAAGTGAAAGTTTACAAATCATGTTAGTTTTCCATACAATCATTCATACACTGTTTGTTTTATAACATAGATTACTATTGTTTAGTGGTTGATTTATTGCAATATCTAATCAATTTCTTATTGTGTGTTGTCTTTCCTTTCACCTAATTTAATTATTTATTCACTATTACGCTCCTTTCCCTCTCTTACTATTCCTGTTAACCCTCTAAGATTACTTACTTCAATCTGTGTGTAAACCTTGTTGTTGTTGTTGTGTACCATGCAGTCGGAACCGACCCATAGCTGATTTTCCCGCGGGTTTTCAGAGGCCATTAATCTCACAGAAGGAGACTGCCTATCCTTCTCCTGTGGAGCAGCTGGTGGCCTCATGCTTTTGGGATTGCAGTGCAGCTTCTTGCCACCAGTCCACCAGAACTCGCTAGTCTAAGGTTATAGGTATTAATTTTCCCCACCTCTCTTTTCTCTGCAGGTGATTCTACATGTGGGCAGAGGGCTATCTATCACAGTTTTGGAATGACTGGAATCCCTATAATAAATGTCAACAATAATTGTTCTACTGGCTCTACTGCTTTGTTTATGGCCCGGCAGCTGATTCAGGGAGGTAAGGAGTATTCGTTTGCTCGATGTATTTAGATAAATATAGAGCTGTTGTCCACCATTAATCATTTTTCCCCAGAGTCTCAGAGGGATGTCTTTATAGTGTATTTCCTTGTCTCAGTTAACTAAACCAAAATGAAAATGAACTCACAGCCATTGAGTGGATACTGACTCAGCATGCATGGCCCTGTAGAATAATGTGTCCTGTTAGATTTCGAAAGAAACATATTGCCTCATTTTCCTCCAGAGGAGTGGCTGGTGGGTTCAAGCCACTGACCTTTTGATTAGCACCTGAATTCTTCAGCCACTGCACCACCCAGGCTCCTTTGTTGTTGTTATTGGTAGGTGCCCTCAAATCGAGTCAGACTCATAGCGACCCTTTTTTTTTTTTCATAGCGACCCTTTGAACAACATATCTGAACCCTGTCCTGTCCTGTGCCAGCCTTATCATCTCTGGCATACTCGAGCCCATTGCTGCAGTCATTATGTCAATCCACCTGGTTGAGGGTATTCCTCTCCTTAACTAGCCCTCCATCTTCCCAAGCATAATGTCCTTCTCCTAGCAGCATGCCCAAAGAATGCGAGACGAAGCTTAGCTTGGAGAAGGTGATGCCAGAGTGTTCCTCGGAGGCAAAGATGGCAAAAAGGGCTCCTTCAGTGCTGTGGTGAAACCAAATCCTAACCCACTGCATCAAGCTGGTTCCAGCTCATGGTGCTCTCCAGAGAGTTTCTGAAAGTGGCTATAAATCTTCACAGGAAGAGACTACCTATCTTTCCTATGTGGAGTGCTCGATGGATTTGAACAACAATGTCAGTCAGCAGTATAACATGCTTTATACTATATCACCAGAGCTTTCAGACCTTGAGTAAAACTTACTGCCATCTAGTTGGAACAGACTCAGACCTGAGGAGATAGGCCATCTTTCTCTCTCAGAGCTGCTGCTGGTGGGTTTTACAGTAAGGGAGTCTAGCATTTTAAATACCACTGGTGAGGTCTAGCATCACTGAAGAGAAAGCAAGATCATGTAGGACACCCTTCCTGCTCCAGCTATACCTACGACAGTAACATGTGTGGCCAAACTGGAGCCCTGATGTGAGATGAGATCTTGTAGGGGGAGTGAGAGGGAGAACCAATTTTGTCAGGACTGAGAACGTGGGGACCATTGGCCTGAATGAAGTACAAGGCTTGAGGCTGAGGTGCCTGCATGCATGTTTCAGGAGCTGTCTTGACTGTATTCTGTTATAAATCTGGATTATAACCAAAATACAAAACAAAAACACTGGTGAGTCAAGTGACCCATTTAACAGAATAACCAGGGATGAGTCGCTCTAAAGAACAGAATCTTATTTTCTCACAGTTGTGGTGGCTAAAAGTTCATGTCAGGATTTGCTCCATGTTGATTCCTTCTGTGGTCCTCTTGCCTAGTTTCTGGTGTCAGTATGTGATTCTTAGCATTTCTTTGCTTGTAGGCAAGTTTTATATGTCATATGACTTCTACCAATACGTATGTCTCTATGTCTGTTCTAGTCTTGTAACTTGGAAATCATTAGGTATAGGATCCAGTCTAAACTGATACAGCCTCATTAACATAACAAAAGAAAATCCTATGTCATCACAATTCCCAATTTCATCACATTTCAAATTTCTTCACATCAAATTTCCCCAATGTCATCACATTCACAAGATAAGGGATCTGATATATATTTTTGGTGAACATTATTCAATCCATGTTGTTATTGTTGATTGCCTTCGAGTTGAGCACAACTCATAGCAACCCTATGAACAAAAGGCCTAAACCCCCTCTACAACTATCAATATTTGTCAAAGTTTTTAGAGTTTCTGGAGGCATGTTGTTTAGGAAGTGGATGCCACTCCTTCCAAACCTGTCATAGCATTTTTAAAAGAAGTAACAGCTTTATGTTATTAGTGTAATTAATATAATTTTTCTTTTTATCTCATTAACTCACTCATTAATGTCAAGCTGGAACTTGCTCAGCTGACCTGATAGTGGGTTTTCAGAAGCTGCGAATTGTATGAGAGGAGATTTGTGCATTTCTCTGGTGAATTTGAATTTTTAGAGAGGCGCCACCTTTGGGTAGCTGTGCACACAACTCCCTACTCAGAAAATCCTCTTTTTATCATCTGTTGTTGTTATGTGCTGTAGAGTCACTTGTGGCTCATAGCAACCCTATGTACAACAGCCCTGAGATCTGCTGTATCTTGAGCCAACCTCATCATCTTTGACACTCCTTCTCCCATTACCCTAGTTACTGAGTCAATCCTTCTCAGTGAGGGTCTTCCTCACTTGTGCTGTCCCTCTACCCTCCCAAACATGATGTCCCTCTCCAAGGACTGGTATTTCCTTGCAACATGCCCAAAGTATGTCAGACGAAGCTTCGAATCCCTTCTTCCAAGGAACATCCTGGTTTCACTCTCTTCAAAATGAACTTATTTGTTCTCCTAACAGTCCATGGTATAGTCAATGCTCTTCTCCAGCATCACAACTCAAAGAGATCAATTCTCCTTCTATAATCTCTAGTCATTGTCCAGCTTTCTGATGCATAGCAATTAATTGCAATGACCATGGGCCAGATCAGAACTATGACTCTGGTAGCTTTATGGTAAGGAACTGCACTGCCAAGTCAAAGGGACGTGGCTCAAATTCACCAGCTGCTCTGGAGGGGAAAAAATGGACAACCAACTCTCATGTGATTTACTGTTTCTGAAAACCTGCTGGAGGATCAGATCAGCTATGAGTTGGGTCTACCTCTATGTTATACAACACAACATCATCAAGGCTTTTTATCTAGAAGCATGTAAATTTGATCTCTATAATTTTTCACTTATTAAAATTTTTGTAGGAGTATATGTTTGCAAGTTTCCTATAAATTGTCATACTTATTTAAATGGAACTGTAATAGCATTAGTAAGAGTATTTCTTTGTAACTGTAATAGTATTTTATTAGGGGTATGTAGAAATTAGTTGGTTTTTCTCCTCAAAATACTTAAACTTTCTTTTAAGGTATGGCACATTGTGTCTTGGCTCTTGGATTTGAGAAGATGGAGAGGGGGTCTATTGGAGCAAAAGTAAGTATCTCTGTGCCTGGTCTTTTTAAACTTGGAAATGACTAGTAAGAACGAGGAATGTTGGTTTTTACTTCCTAGGGCAAAGGGCAAAATAGGCATTTTTCTTATCATAAGGTTGGCAGTTAGAATGACAAATACCAATTTATTATGAATGTTATTATCCAATTGTACAATGAGAAATTGTATAAATTTTTGTAGCAACTACTTATATTTTCATGACTTATGCTATGGGCATGACTTGCCTTAAAATGTTCTGTTCCTTGTGTAAAAGTCATAGAAAATTGATGAGTACACACACACACACACACACACACACACACACACACAATAATCACCTGTGATGATAATGACATAATTTATGAATTTAACAAAAATGTTTAGCTTATACTGTACACATAATTCGGTAGCTTTCACTTTTCATTTAACATTGTAATTTGAGTATTTTTTAATATCAAGAATTACTTGTAGGCAAATTTTTAATGACTATGTTAACTTATCACATGGCTGGCTGTATTATAGTTTACTTACTATTGTTCCTATATAGTATATTTAGACTATCATTTATTATTAT